ATCTCTACATACACACAAAGCAAGTCTCTAATGGCTTTACCATTAACTGACTGCATCTGGGAAATCTTCACATGCTCAAAGCAAACCATCCTGTGTCACAACATGTCAGATCCTTGGACAAATTGCCTCCAATAAGTTTTTCCAAAAAATGTGCAAACTTTAGATGAACAATGTACTGCAGTTCACCTTTGAAAAAAATTGCTATGTGTCTATACTCTGTGAACACATACACTGTCTTTCTCAGAATTCCTTATAATTTAAACATATGCATTTTAATGTTTTTGTACTGATAAACTAAAAGCAAAAAATGCACTCAATTATTTTATAGAACAAAACAAAAAAATCTGTTAGAGCTAAATATTACATTGATGCATGTTATCCCCCCTTTCATGCCAATTCTCTACCCAATGACTCCTCCCATTCATAAATATGCCCTTACCATTTTGATCCTATCAAAATGAAAAAGCTTTCATTAGATGAGAATGTTTTTCACAGAAATGAGAACATATCATCATCTGAGGTAAAGGCAAGCCAGGTAATAACAGTTTTTAAGTTAGGGCTCAGAAGAAACTGACAGCCCCAGTACTTTCTTGAGCAGGTTCTATACCTTCTCCCATCTTGGATCTATTTCCCATCCCTCTCCATTCCCAATTTGTACATTTGGCCAGGACCAAGACACTGTCATAGCCTCTCCAGGAAACAATAAAATGGTCAAATGAAGCTGTGTATGCTGGCTCGTCCTTACTTGCTGTAATCTAAAATATTAACCTTAATATATCTTTTAAACTTTATTTTATTTATGTAATTAAATATTAAAACCAGGCACGGTTGCTCATGCCTGTAATCCCAGCACTTTGGGAGACAAAGGCAAGAGAGAGGATTACCTGAGCCCAGGGGTTTGAGACCAGTCTGCACAACTTGGTAAGACTTGTCTCTACAATAAATCAAAAAATTAGCATGTGTAGTAGTATGCACCTGTGGATTCAGCTACTTGGAAGGTTAGGCGAAAGGACTGCCTGAGCCCAGCAGGTTGAGGCTGCGGTAGCTGTGAATATGCCACTACACTCCAGCCTGGGCAACAGAGTGAGACTCCCACTCAAAAAAATAAATAAATATCAAGATAATCTTGATTATAATAAACATTTAGTTAACATTCACAAAGACAGCACAAAGTATTATCCATAACTTCATAAACTGGGTTCTTCTCAGTCATAATTCAATAAAATATGGATTCAATGGACCCCTCAAAAAAAAGCTATGTGCTCCTAGAGAGCTAAAATGAAGTACTCAACACAGTAGGCAAGAGTGAGTAAAACTTGACAACATAAAACTTCAGTGCCTATCTATAAAGAATGCTCTTCATAATATTTATGAAAACTATTTTTATCTAAAAAGCAATCATCTGAATTGACAAAGCTATTTGAGGTTATTTTCCCAGAGGCCAAAGAAGCCAAGAAAACTACTGAAGACCTTCTGAAAACAAATACATTAAAATAGCGTTAGCAAATGGGCCGGTGAGTCAATATTTTAGGTTTACAAGCCATACTGTCTCCACTGTAGCACAACAGCAGCTAAATATAATATATAAAAGAATGAGTATGGCAGTGTTCCAATAAAGCTTTAAACCAGGTGGTTGACTCTGGTAATTTGTCAACCCATGTACAAAAATATAGATCCTCCATTATGACAATGTTTATATGCACACCTTTGACACAAGGCTGGCATGGAAAATGTCACTCAAAATGGCTCCCATAATAATTTATTTCTGGTTAGGAAGATAAAATAGCACCTGCATTTTAAAAAAAGACTTAGGTTCACTAAATAAAATTACATTTTGAAAAGAAAACTGATCTGTATACAATATCTAAGATCTGAGAAAGGAAATCGATGGGGGAAGAAGGGAAGAATCTATGGAGGAGAGCAAAGTGAGTTATTCAGAGAGAGAAAAGGTGAATAAACATTAACCCATGATAACTTGGCGAGACTTCATCTCTACAATAAATCAAAAGATCAGCCGGGCGTGGTAGCGCATGCCTGTAATTCCGGCCACTTGGAAGGCTGAGGTGGAAGGATTGCCGGAGCCCAGCAGGTAGAGGCTGCAGTGGCCGAGAGCGGCCACTGCACTCCAGTCTGGGCGACTGAGTGAGACTCCAACTCAAAAAATAAATAAATAAATAAATAAATAAATAAATAAATAAATTCTCAGTACTATTTGCAAGAGCTGGTAACATGAAGACAATATATAAAACACATTCGTGTTCTCAAGAAACTCATGACAGAGTTGAAGAATGAACTTATTTTTTGCCTTTGCATTCCAAAACTTTCAACATCAAGGGCATATGGGATTACAAGCACACTTTTTAAAGATGCTCCAAACCTTGGCTTAAAAATAAAGACACTTGTATTTATTCTTTATAAACAGAAAGAGAAAAACTGTATAAAAGCATATTATATCCAGAATTAATTTTATATTTCTATTCTTTTTCTACACATCAATTCTGCATTCCTATCAGTAACTATGGCTCACTATAGGGGTCTAGCCTCCTGAAAGGATTTATTGGAAGTTTATTGGTTATAGGGTAGTACTGAACCGGAAAAATCCTGAGATGATTCTGATCCCTCTGCTCCTTCCTTTCCCTTCTTTGTAATCCCCACCTCACGAATCCTTACTGTATATCATGATCTCTCAAAATACAAAAGACAGATTTCTTCACTGGCAAAGTATAACCTTGAACATTAATATGCACTGAAAGTAATAAGTCTGGATGCCTTCCTTCAAGACAGGCTTTATCTTCAAAATAAAAAAACTCCCAGCCGGCTTGGTGGCTCAGCCTGTAATCCTGTGCCTTTGGGAGGCTGAGGCAAGTGGATTGCCTGAGACCGTGGGTTCGAGACCCACCTGGGCAGCGAGACCTCATCTCTACAATAAATAAAAAAATCAACCAGGCGTGGTAGTACATGC